CTCAAATATTTTTCTAGATCCATACATTTCTTTGTAAAATTTACAAACATGTTTTTATGCATTTATGCGATGTACCGCTGCGATTGCGGGCTCAAATGTCCGGATTTTCTGGCCATGTTACGACCTCCTTTCTCATGCAGATACGTTCGARTAGTTGTAAGAGGTTGGCAAAATTATATATCCATGAGAATGGAGCTGTACAGTTGTGATTAATCACTGGTCTCATCTTGCCCTTCTAATGTTCAATTGTTCCCAMTCAACCAGATGCAACCCCGGGGGGTATTTTAGTGAACTTAAGGTAAATTCCTTAACTATATTAACGATATTACTGACGTAGATTAAATCGCGCGGTTGCATAAGCGGACGGTACGTACCAGTACGTAATAAACGGGCTTTAAGTAACGTGGCGTACTGAAATAAACACGTACAGCTTTAAGTTAGCTTTTGACCTTTAGGAGTGGAGAAAATTGCCCACAAATCGCCAAAAATCTATCTATCTATCTATTCAAGGGAATTCGGGATACACTCAAGATATACACAAGAAGTCAGATAAGTGAATTTCTACGGTACTCAAAGCTATAACAAATACAATCGTAATATCATTCAAAAACTGTTATGGTTGTCCTGGCGCCCTTGATCCAAGCTGTATATTGGTCTATATTCGAATTAGATTACTTTATAAGTGTGGATAAAAGTATTAAATTTAATTAAGTTTCGGATAACTYAGTTTGAGCTCCGTTCGTGGTAGTTCTAATGAAATTGTTGTGAAATTAATATTTTTAAAATACAATAAAAAAGAGGTGGAAGCTAGTGTGACCTTCGCTGTTCTTTCAAAGACAGTTGTGCAATAAAATAAACTCACACCGTAAAGAGTTGGTGAAATAACCTACTGACTTACTACAGCAAATTCGAGGCTCATGTAAGAGTCAAAGCATGAAACATGCTGATAAGATTGATTATTGACACTTCATTTTCTAAAACTTTTATTGCGACTAAGATCATTAGTTATTAATGATGTGAACAAAAGAAAATAAAAAAAGAACTTTCTACAAGGACTAGAGAACATCATCTTGCCATGTTTACCTTTAGTTTGTCTTTAGTTTATGTGATCGCATATCTTTCTACTCCATCCACATCTCAAGCTTCTGATCATGGCAACACATTCAATGCAGCCGAGACAACAAATATACGAGAAGCAAACTCGAGTTTTGGATTTGTACACTTTGTTAGAATTCCAAACAAAAATTTGGACATCAAACCCTTCAAACTTGTTCATGCCAAAATGTACAAAATGTGCTTAGTTGATTGTGCAGCAGATCGGAAATGCGTTTCTTTTAATTTTGCCAACACGGCAGATTCTAATGGACTGCATTTGTGCGAAATGCTGGATACAGACATTTTGAACAATACTAAACTTCTCAAAAACAAGGACAACTACCTCCACTTTACAATCAAGGTAAGAACGCTAAATACGAACAGTACCTTTTCTTGTTCACATCTTATTAAGTAAGGAATTAACTAACAAATTTCATTTGATTTTCGTTGTAACAAAATAAAAGACGGCATGTTTTGCCAACCCTTGCAAGAACCAAGGTGTTTGTATTCCAAACTACACCATCAGCGATTACACCTGTAACTGCCGACGATGTTTTGGTGGGAGAAACTGCGAAAATGGTTAGGAAAAAAGATTTGATGTGATGTGAGTCGCGCCCAAATGGCAATACTGAGCAGATAGTAGCATCTGTAGCATCTGAGTCTTCACTGTGCATTTATTCGTATTTTATATCATAGAGTATCATTCTCTTGGGATGGAAGACGGAAGGATTCTTGATTCCCAAATCACTGCTTCTTCTCATTATTCCAATCGTTTATTACCGAAGTATGGAAGGCTGAATAGAGTTCTTGTTGGCGGTTCATGGGGTGTCAATCGAAGAGCAAATGGTGGATATTTAGAGGTCGATATCAGAACTAACACAACTATTTGCAAGATCGCTACACAGGGAAGGCATAACAGTGAACAGAGGGTTACTGCTTATTCCATCCATTATAGCAGTGATCACATTACCTGGACAACTTACAGTGCAAATGAGAATGAAGTTGAAAAGGTATTTTACCCATTACCATGTTATAACTAAAACACATATGTAGTTGTCTCTAGCTTAGTTTTTTATTCGGAAGTTTGATCTAGGGAGCTTTATTTTATTCAACTCATTGTAAATTTAGGTCGGATCAGGTTTCTTTATCGAGCGGTTAAACCTAAATTTACCTTAAAAACCATTTATAAGTGTCTGTTTTTTAGCTTTTTACTGCCACATAAGCCCCTAGGCTTGCATCATTAAGCTTGACTAGTGGCCAGAACAATCTTCTGGAAGAAATCAGAGGTGGAAAGCAATTTTTCGAAGACAATGGCTCAAAGTTTCGCAGTGTTTTGAACTGGAGACACCATCGTAAGATCGCTTTCCTGGTCCATTTGTGGCAGATTTTCCAACCTACCAAGGTGATTTTGGCAATATTTGACAACCAAAGATTGCAATTGGACCAATATTTTGTCTGTAGGTGTGGGGGAGCTCACACTTATAAAATAATCATTAAAAAAAGAAGAATGCTGCACGATTTATGTCCAGATTTTGTCTCTTCCCATCATGCATTTCGGTCGTGCATAGGAGCGTATTGTACTGGGTGCTCAAAAGAGGGCTGTTGAGAGGTCTGCAGTGACTTTGACAGAATAAAAACGGCAAAATGAGGACGTGCTATCAAAGGGATATTCAAGTTAAGTGGACTTTTTGCTATTAAACATGTTTTGACGCTAAAAACTGAGCTGGAAATTAGTGTTTCCTGTAGTCCTCCAAACGCAAATTTTGGCATTCACT